CATGTTTCATTACATGGGCTTAATTTGAAAACTATTTGAAGATTTTATGAATTTGCGTCAAGAAAATATAAATCTTAAAAAAGTCCATGGAATAATACAAGATCTAAACAGTCCATTAATACTAATATGATCAAATAACTTTCGGTCTGAAAGTTTCAGTTCATACGTCACTTTTTGTGGCGTTGAAACATTCGTGTGACGCACAGTTTATAATTCGTTTGTGGTGCCCTGGTGTGCTGTCGTGGATTCATGGAAGGTGTCCGTTGTTATTCTGTGGTTTAAATGTTGTAATGTACTATTATATTATTTATTTATGTGTTTCTCTGTCCTGATTGTTCTTTCGTTTATTTGTACTGTATTCCCGTCACGTAATGTTGTCATTTTAGCGGTATTTTTAACATTGCCGTAAAGGCCGGAGGTTTGGGTAGCCATAAAACCAGGTTCAACCCACCATTTTTTCTTAAAATGTCCTGAACCAAGTCAGGAATATGGCAGTTGTTATCAAATAGTTCGTTTCTATGTATGTTGGCGTTTGTTTTTGTTGCAGTTCAGTGTTTCTGTTGTTCCGTTGTTTTCCTCTTATAGTTGATGTGTTTTCCCCGGTTTTGGTTTGTGTCCCGGATTTGTTTTTGCTTAATCGATTTATGACTATTGAACAGCGGTATACAACTGTTGCCTTTATTTACAATAACCTGAATAGGTGTAAAATGCATGCAGACACAAATCATGATTGACTGCAAGACGAATTACAGCTAATTTCGTTATATGTTTCTAAATATTTATAATAATAGAATAAAACCACTTATGCATAGCCCCATTTTTTCTAAGTTATATTCTGCAATATCAAGCATTCATAGCTATTTTTTCTTAACTTTAAACATAGTGACAGTCATTTCATGTATAAACTATACCTTATCTTGGCTTGTGTTGAAAAAGTTAACATGACATTACCTTCAACTGCATACAAGCACGCACTAGTACGCAGAACTTTGGCAGTAGTATACATGTATTTCCGATCTCAGCAACAGGCAAAATATGCCCTCTTATTCAATTTCTTATATTTTATTTTTATTTAAAGGAATCTTTCAAAAAGGATTCTAAAGTGATCCCAGGTCATTAAGGTCTCATTGTATACCAAAATTAACCAAATAATTTACTTATTTATAAAATAGCAGCTATGCGTAGGAACTAAAATTGAGAATGGAAATGGGGAATGTGTCAAAGAGACAACAACCCGACCATAGAGCAGACAACAGCCGAAGGCCACCAATGGGTCTTCAATGCAGCGAGAAACTCCCGCATCCGGAGGCGTCCTTCAGCTGGCCCCGAAACAAATATGTATACTAGTTCAGTGATAATGGACGTCATACTAAACTCCAAATTATACACAAGAAACTAAAATTAAAAATGATACAAGACTAACAAAGGCCAGAGGCTCCTGACTTGGGACAGGCGCAAAAATGCGGCGGGGTTAAACATGTTTTTTGAGATCGCAACCCTCCCCCTATACCTCTAGCCAATGTAGAAAAAACAAACGTACAACAGTACGCACAGTAAAACTCAGTTTAAGAGTCCGATGTCAGAATAGGAAACAAAAGAAAATAAACAAAATAACAATTATACATAAATAACAACAGACTACTAGCAGTTACTGACATGCCAGCTCCAGACCTCAATTAAACTGATTGAAAGATTATGTCTTCATCATATGAATATCAGGCACAATCCCTCCTGTTAGGGGTTTAGTATTATACCGTCATAAAATATATGAGAAGAACATAACCCGTGTCATGCCAACAACTGGTTTTACAATAAATATGTTTAATTCCGATGCAAAGACCCTATAAGTGAATCAATATTAAAGCCAAAATATGCAATCTTTAATAACCTGACAACAGTATCGTAACTATATCCCTTCTTAATAAGTCTGTTAAAAGGTTTTGTTAGCTTTTGAGGTGAATACTGACATTTTTGTGCTTTGTAAAGAATATTACCATAAAAGATTGGATGTGAAATACCCAAACGTATAAGATGTCTGCATGTTGATTTATATTTACGAATGATGTCCTTATACCGATGATAAAATTTAGTAAATGTTTTGACTAGTTTATGATATCAAAAGCCCTGGTGTAATAATTTTATAAAGTATATAAATTTCTCTCGCTAAAATCTAATACGTTGTTACATACACGAGCGAATTGTACAAGTTGAGATATATAAACACCATAAGATGGTGACAAGGGAACGTCACCATCTAAAAATGGATAATTAACGATAGGAAATAAAAAATCATCTCTTTAATCATAAATTTTTGTATTAAGCTTCCCGTTAATGATATAGATATGAAGATCGAGGAAAGGACAGTGGTCATTGTTAGTATTAGCTTTATTTAAAGTAAGTTCAACAGGATAAATTTCTTTAGTATACATACTGAAGTTGTCATTATTGAGAGCCAATATATCATCCAAATATCTAAAAGTATTGTTAAATTTTTGTATCAGATGCTGTTTCGATGGGTCTTTGCTGATTTTAGTCATAAATTGTAACTCATAACAATACAAAAACAGGTCCGCAATAAGTGGTGCACAGTTAGTCCCCATTGGAATTCCGATAACTTGACGATATACGGAATCTCCAAAGCGAACAAAAATGTTATCAAGTAAAAATTCAAGGGCAGATATAGTATCAAAGCATGTCCAATTGACATAGCTCTTTTGTTTGTTGCTACCAAAAAATGACCTAAAAGAGTTTGGACATATGTATTCGCATTCCGACTTTTTGAATGCCCATTTAATTAAGTGTGTGAATTTTTTCTTAATAAGAATATGAGGCAAAGTGGTATATAGGATAAAAAAATCAAAACTTTGAACAGATTCAAAATCACCAATATATGCATGCAATTTATCAAGTGCTTCCAACGAGTTTTTGACACTCCAAAAGTAGTTAATTCCACTATTTTCAAAGGCCTTATTTGAACAATTTATTATCAGGTTTTTGATTGTACCAAGTGTACTAGTAAGTAGAATAGACAATTAAGTAGTGGAAAAATGACTTGAGGACGAAATAAATCTATATTTGTAAGGTGATTTGTGTAGCTTCGGAAGCCAGTACATAGTTGGGACTTTCATTGTATTTGGTTCTGCTTGTAAAGAAGTAGCTAATAGTTTATGTTTGTTACAGATATCGTTTTCTGAAAATGAAGTCAGTTGGAATGTTGGTGAATTCGTGATTTCCTTTTGCAGAATCTCAATGTAAAATTTACGTCAAACTATAATGATATTATTAGCAGCTTTATCAGCCGGGACAAAAACAAATTCCTTGGCTAGTTCTTTTAGTTTATGTTTGATACGAGAGATAGGATTTTTATGGTTGTTGTTAAGAGTAAAATGTTCTTTAAAATGTTGTATACGTATATCAACTATCTTCATTACTGAATTAAAAAAAGAGTCCAAAGATTTTTTGTCAGCTTTTTCCCGTTTTATCCATTTCAAACAGTAAGCACGAAGTGAGTCGTGGATGATATTACGACACTCATTCCAATTAATAATTGACGGGGGACGATATTTAGGTCCTTTACTGAGGAATGATTTTAACTCTCGGTCGCGAACGATGTAAAGGTCTCCTGTTATAACATGGGAAATGGGGCCATAAGTGTATTCGGAATTACTGCAATTACATGACGGAGGTCTATTTTCACTGATATTTACATCTTTACAGACTTGGCTATAATTAAACACAAATTTTCGGGTAGATTTCTTGTAAATATAACAAATTTGTTTGCTTATAACTGGTATCACTTTCTTGTCTACTAGTAATTTATGACCAGGCCCGAATTAATGGTTCTATGGCTGAAGTTTTGTTCTCAAAGCTTTTCTTTCAGGATGAAAAGTTACATTATTTCGAATATTATTTTTGATTATCTGTAAATATATGTTATAAATATGTTTTTTATAGATGTCTTTGAAATGAAAACTATCGCGGTTCATAGTAAATGAAGTTCGACACATGCTTTCATTTCAATGAATTTTAAAAAAAAGCATTCAATTCTTGATGACACGTTTAGCCAAAAAAATGCATGTCGAATGAATGACGCAAAACTATGGTCATTACCATACGCGTATGGTCCAAGTATTCATAGGGTCCAAAACACACGCACCAACACGTAGAATAATCTGTCCAAGGATAGGGGAGGGTTGAGCGTTCACAAACATGTTTAACCCAGCCACATTCTGTATGTGCCTGTCCCAAGTCAGGAGCCTGTAGTTCAGTGATTGTCTTTGGTTCATGTCTGTCATATTTGGTTTTCGTTAATTGTTTTGTTATAATGCCGTTAGTTTTCTCAATTGAATTGTTTCATATTTATCATGTCGGGGCCTTTCATAGCTGACTATACGGTATCGGTTTTTCTCATTGTTGAAGGTCGTACGGTTGCCTATAATTGCTTACATCCACCTTATTTAAATTTTTGGTGGATAGTTGTCTCATTGGCAATCATACTTCATCCCCTTATTTTTATAAGTTTCAAATATATGAGTGCTGTTTAGAGCGTGGCATATTGTGTAAACATGCGTTGTCTATTGTTTGTTACCGTATTAAATAAAGGCAACAATAGTATACCGATGTTCAAAAGTCACAAATCGACTGAGGGAAAACAAATCCGGGCCACAAACCAAAACCGAGGGAAACACATCAACCACAAGAGGAAAACAAATGAACAACAGTAACACCGAACTGCAACAAACAAACGCCAACCGTAATCCGTAAAGTGTAATTTATAATTAAATAATTTCCTGTTTAAGTGAATTATGTATTTCATGCAAATACTAAATCACTAGGTCCTTGACCGATGTAACTTTAGTAAATAGACAGTCCAGCAGCAGGGGTTTGACCAAGTTATATTAATACATACGTATGCTACCGATGCAAGTTCAATAGAAAAGCATCCAGTGATACATATACAACTTAATAATATATTCTGATGTTTATATTATGCATTCTAGATAGTAAATGACGATGGCAATTATAACCCTTCAAGGATTTTTAATATAAGGAGTGATTATTGTATATGGTAAATATATTGCTTTTTATATTCTTTTCCAAATAGAATATATTTCCCCCAAATTTACCTCTGACTACAGCGTTCATGATGAAGGTAAATACAGAAGAGCGCCTTGGACTTACGTAATGTATAAAGTATTGTTTTCGATTTTTTTGATATCTCTTTATGTAAGCCGATGAAAAATCGGTATAAAATCTTTTGCAATAACCGTGCATCTAAAAGTAAACTATCACATTTTTTTTGTAATATCTAATGTGTCTTTTTCTTAATTAAATAAATCTGTGTGACGTTACCTCCTACAGGTAAAATTCTGTTTTTTGTTTGTTTCCTAAGATCTTATTTCGTCTTAAAAAATTACGGCCTCTAAGACGTTGATGTACCACTAATAATCATTATGTCATTACAATATGAAGAAAGTATTTTTTTATACTTCAGTCTCTGCCGATGTCATTGTTTGTGAAGATAAATTAGCATACATTAAATATTCATATCCGTCTAAGATTAAAGTATCAAGCGCAATATTCGGACGGACCACAGATAGAAGCATATGCCCTCATCCTGCTATACATACAACTGATTGCAGATCATCGACTTCTGACTATAAAGTAAACGCAATGTGCAATGGTAAAAGAATTTGTCGAGTAAAGGCTGACCATAGACAGTTTGGTGATCACTGCAGAGGAACATACACATACTTAGAAGTTAAATATAAATGTGTTTGATTCTGCGTATGAAGAAAAATAATACCATTGAAAAACAAATGTAAAATAATGTGAAATAGTTTGTGATTTTTAATTTCTGGTTTCATTTTACAATATTCTTGCGTATGTCATATGTAAGTTAGATTTGTATGTACATTGTATGTATCAATAAACTCATTAAAGATATCAGGTTTAAAATGTGTTCACCAGACGCGCTTTTTATCTTCTTAACACTCGTCAGTGACGCTCGAATTAAAAAATTAAAAGCCAAAAAATAAGAAGTTGAAGAGCATTGAGGACCCAAAATCCTGAAAGGTTTTGCCAAATACAGCTGAGGTAATCTATTCCTGTGGTAAAAAATCCATACTGTTTCGAAAAATTCAAAGTTTTGTAAACAGTTTATGATAATTATGATCATATCAATGATAGCTCATGTCAACACAGAAGTGCTGACTACCGGGCTGGTGATACATGATGTACATGATTGCTAACAGATTTGTGGCTTTTAGCAAAATGAATCTATTACTGTTATTAAAAAATATAATTGGTGGTGTTCAACATTATGACTGGTACTATATGTGCAGCAAAATTTGTATTCTGTTACAAAAGCGAACCAAATTAATGAAAAAATATCTCAATGGGAATTTAGTACTATCTCATAATTCTTAATGATTTGCATATTAGGGAATACGTTTATATGATTGGTCGAGAGGGCTTCCGGTAGTTGATCTTGAAGTTATTTATTTTTCCATAAAGATTAATGTTTCTAAATTCAAAAACATATTATCATTTTCCTTCATCCTTTTTTTCTTTTTCAACAACTAATTTCATATGATTTTATTTTAATGAGCCAGGTTTTGACAAAGAACGTCTAGTCCTTTTTCTAAAAAAAATCATAGGAAAGTACCAAAAGAGGGACGAAAGATACCAGAGGGACAGTCAAACTCATAGATCGAAAACAAACTGACAACGCCATGGCCAAAAATAAAAAGACAAACAGACAAATAATAGTACAGATGACACAACATAGAAAATCAAAGACTAAGCAACACGAACCCCACCAAAACCGGGGGTGATCTCAGGTGCTCCGGAAGGGTAAGCAGATCCTGCTCCACATGTGGCACCCGTCGTGTTGCTTATGTTATTACAAATCCGGTAAATAGTCTAATTTGGTAGGTCACATTCGTGAAAAGGGAAGGGTATTGTAGTTACGACATAAGGAACATAAAGCAGATCCTGCTCCACATGTACCAAGACGTAATAGTTAAATATTAAGTGTCTACATCACAAATTATACAAGATGGTCTTGAAATATAGATTTTAGGTGCTGAAAGTGTGTATCTTTTAACTTACTTGGTCAGAGGACACAGTTATCGTCCTTTGATTTTCGTTGTCTACAAATATAGTCTCTAGTGTGGACAGTGTATAACTTGCAATTTTTTTTCATACACTTTCCAAATTTATTTCTTTATATTTTATACATGAAATATTAAGTATAGGGATAACATTACATATTAAAAAAATGTGGGTGATGAATTTTTATGTAAAGTAGTGATTTGGTCCAGTTAAAAAAGGTGAAAAATTAGTATGTCTGGAGCTGTCAAACTGAATTATAGACCCCCTTAACATAGAATAGTCCATATTTTGAGTTAGAGCTATAACTTTGATATTATTTGTCCCAAAAGTAGTACACTATACTGTAAAAATCTTTTTGAGATAAAGCAGTTGCGATTTTTTTAATTTGAATTTATTGTCTAAAAAAATGCACTAGGAAATAACTGTGTTCTCGGGCCACGTTACAGTTTTCCCTTTATTTGTCTTCGTGCTATTGTATTTCTTTTGGTAGTATGCCTTTTGTCGTGAGTGGGAATTTATGCATCCCGCTATCGGGTTTTTGTCTTTGGGCGTTCCTGGTGCAGGTTGTGACGGAATATATATATTTGTTCCAAAGAAATCTGTTACATAACAGTAGTTCCATTCGGAACTTTCACCATATAATATTAAATCCATTGCCATAAGAAAATTTCCTACACATTGGATACAAATATTATATAATGAAAGTTCCTATTGGAAATTTTGATATATAATAAAAGTTCTTTGGAACAAATATTATATTAACACTTTGGCACTAGCAACACACATGGATTCCCATCACACTGTGAGAGAAACAATGACATAGGAATATCAAAATTACAAACAATTTAATTATGAAATTGCAAATATTTATATTTGTGACAAGATATTTCAAGATATACAGAATATTTACTAATCACTTTTTCTAATTATAGGGAAATATTCAAAAATACTGTTTCGTATGGCATGGTATTGGTTGCAAAAATTTGATATTTTTCATTTAAATGCAATATTTCTTATTTAATTGGTATATTTCTTCATTTAAATGCAATATTTTTTTATTTGAATGGCATATTTTTTCATTTAAATGCAATATTTTTTATTCAAATGGTATAATTTTTCATTCAAATGGTATAATTTTTCATTCAAATGATATAATTTTTCATTCAAATGGTATAATTTTCATTCAAATGCAATAGTTTTTATTCAGTTGGTATAAAATGTCATTTGAATGCAATATTTTTTATTCAATTGGTATAGTAGTTTTTTTATTTATATGCAATAATTGCATTATGGGAAATTCTTTGACGTCATAAGGTCAAATTTGCAACAACGTTTGTGATTGGTCGGAAATTGTTTGGATTTCTGCCCTTTCTTTCTAAACATAGGTGACCAAGAATTAAAAAACGCGTCAGAATATCGCCCCTCTAACTAAATCTAACGTTCGTGCAAGTCCTGCACTGGCTGTCAAAATCTTGTGGTCATAACTAGTATTTCTATTGCAAAATTTCGATGGTCAAAACGTTCGGTCCACTTTTCAAAAACCGTTTCATTGTATATGGATTTATATGCAAGTATATCGGTTTTTTTAAATAGATTAGACACCGCTGGTTTTCCCGTTTGAATGGTTTTACACTACTAATTTTTTGGGGGCCCTTTATAGCTTGCTGTTCGGTTTGAGCCAAGGCTCCGTGTTGAAGACCGTACGTTGACCTTTAATGGTTTAACTTTACAAATTATAATTTGGATGAAGAGTTGTCTCATAGGCACTCATACCACATCTTCTTATATCTATATACAACGTAAACCAGACGTTTCTCAGACTGTTTTCTTTTTTTTTTAATAAATCCTTTGCCGCGCGTTGTGTACTGATTGATAACTCAGTCTTGGAGAACAAGATTTATTTCAGTACCAGTTGTAATTAGGTTTGAGCATAATACTCTTATGTCGGTGCTTTGTGTTTATTGTCTTAATGTTAGTTTTTTTGTGTGTCTCGTACCGGTCTTTTGAGTTAATTTGCTGATTTGTGCAGGTTGTTATTTTATTGTACTGTTACACCACTGTCCCAGCTTCGGGATGGGTTGCTCACAAACATGTTGTTGTAATGTTACACCGCTGTCCCAGATTAGGGGGAGGATTGGGATCCCGCTAACATGTATAACCCCGCCACATTCTGTATGTATGTGCTTGTCCCAAGTCAGAAGCCTGTAATTCAGTGGTTGCCGTTTGTTGCTTTGTTATACATATTTGTGTTTCCATCATTTTTTTGTACGTTAATTCGGCCGTCTGTTTTCTCGATTGAATTGTTTTACATTTTTGATTTCGGGGCCTTTTATAGCTGACTATGCGGTGTAGGCTTTGCTTATTGTCGAAGGCCGTACGGTGACTTATAGCTGTTGATTTCTGTGTCATTTGATCTCTTGTGGAGAGTTGTCTCATTTGCAATCATACCACATCTTCGTTTTTATATCCACCCTGCCATATTCTTTATTTGCCTGTCCCAGGGATGGAGCCTGTAGTTTAATGGTTGTCGTTGGTTCCTGTCTCTAATTAGGCTGATAGTTTTTTCGTTTGAATTGTTCACACTTTTCATGTCGGGCCTTTTATAGACGACTTTACAGTATCAGGTTTTTGTCATTGTTAAAGGCCTTACGATTGTCTACAAAAAGCATTTGTCTACATGACGGCAAAAAGCTCTACAGAGCTTATGTTTGTAGTATTTCATGTTACCCGACTTAAAATAAATTTTTCTTATCTTATCTTATCTTATCTATAATTGCTTACATCCACTTCATATTTGAACTCCGGTGTAGTGCCTTATAAGCAATCATATTCCATCTCTTCATTTTTATATTATATACGTGACTTCTAAACTCGTGTTTTCCTAAACAAGTATGAAATAATTTTCACTGGGCGTTAAAATTAGCAACAAACAATCGATCAATTTAAACTTGTGTAAAATAAGAGGAAAACCATTTGATATTTATTTATTTGTTGGGGTGGGGGACAGAAGGATTTCATATATGAATATGGTTGCCTGGTAAGAGCTGAAAAAAGGCATGATTAGCGACAGATTGAAACGAATAATAATGCCCTCTCTTCCCTTCCCCATCCTTCATCTATAAATTTAAACTGACCACCACGGAATAGCCCAAAAGTGTTGAAAGTAGCGTTAAACACCAATCAATCAAAATCCCTTCCCTAGAATATCAAATAATCGTCCCTTAACTGTTATTGTCCGTGTAGTTCTTATATTTATCCAGCTTATCGTCCTACAGGGATGTCCTACTTAGGCTGTCATACCATAAAAACGTTTATAAAACAGCTCACATTCTAATATATCTGCGTTCATAAATTTATTAATTTCATTTAGACTAAACGACGCCATGTTTGTTATGTGCCTCTGCCGTCAACCTTTCAAAAAAGAAGAGGTGGAAGAGAGCCAGAAGATCTTCCCAATGCAAAAAAAAAAAAACAGAAATGGACTTCTTCTGGCTCACTTCCGAAGAACAAAAAAAAAAAACGCGCCCCATTGATATGTTTTAAAAACGCCTTGCCCCTACCCTTTTTTCCCAAAAAAATGGCATCATTAAATATATAAACATATATATAATCATCAAAATTAAAATGCTATTGTATTTTTATTCTGACCTACTTTATTACATGAC